TAGCCGGAATTACAGGCATGCGCTACCACCCCCGGCTGATTTTTTGATTGATTGTAGAGAATGAGGTCTAGCCAAATTGCCCAGGCACGTCTTGAACCCGCGGGCTCAGGCAATCCACTCACTTCAGCCTCCCAAAGAGGCGGGATTACAGGCTGAGCCCAGCTTATTTTATATTTCTAAGAAGGCAACGGATTCAATAAACACCTCATTCACCAAAAATTTCAAACTAAATGAATATTATATTATTTAGCATTAAAATCTTAATCTTGACTGTGGTTCATACAGAAAACATACAGATTATTATTTAATATTTAATTATAAACAAAAGTCTGCTCATCTATATTTTCAAAACACAGCAGTTGGATAAACCAAACTAGACAGGAAAGGAGTAGCTATTAATGACAGCTATAATAACAGAGAAAAGGACTGGCTGAGAACTTAGAATCAAATTAGGAAAACACAAAAATGAAAAAAACTGGCAGAGAACCATATTACTACAAAAACAAAAAAACAAAAAACAATGCAATCTCTCATTAGAGTCTGAGTCATCAAGAAAATGCTAAACTACATTCAGCATTTTCTGTGTAATTTAAAAAGATACAAAAATAATTTTATCTCTATCTCTCTATCACATAAGATAGGCTTCAGTTAATCTAGAAAGATCACTATGCATGCAAAATAAGTCATTTTCTTACAATGCCAAATTAATGAAACATTACAGCAGATTTCTGTATTTCTTAATTTCTATAAGATATGGATAAAAATGAATACTATAAACTGAAACATTACTTACTATTTTACCACAAATTAAAAACTGAAGCAGAATGATTCTATTAAAGATGCAAACAGTCCTTTGAACACTCGTTTGAAGGCTGTAAAGTTTTGAGTATGAAGGCTGAAGTTTCATTATTTTAGCAATTATCAAATGACAAAACCAAAAATTTTGACTAGATTAACATACTCAAAGAAATTCGCTTAATTTAAAAAGTTGAGCAGAATCATCTCAAGTTATTTTTACTGGCAAACACAAACACATTTATATGAAGATAACAGTTGGCAAACAAAGGAAGGTGAAAAAAATCATCAAGTTTATTACCGATGTCGTACAGATTTTGACAGTTTGAGTATTCGTTGGTACTGCTGGCCTTGATGTTATGTTACTTGTGGTCTCAGCTCTTGTTACAGCTTGCTGAGGAGATACCAACATCAACTGACCGCTGTTACTCTTGATCAAAACTGTTCCTATATTTAAAAAAAGGGGGGGAAAATGTGACCTCTAAGCTAATAAAGCATAACCATCACATACTTTCTTCTCCCATCTCTTTCAACACTGTAAAAATGCTCTGAATAAGTGATTAGTACATACTGAATTTCATGTCTATTTATCATATACAATATGGAAAAATGTTTTCACTCAAAGCTATTTAAAAATATTAAAAATCTAGGCATATGGTGAGCTTCTTTTAAAGAAGGCAAAACATTTTTCATTCATGACATCAAAATTATTTATAAAGCTGCAGAAATTATCATGGTGTGGTAACAGCACAAGACTACACAAGCTGACCAATGGAATAGAATAGAAAAGCCCAAAATAGACTTCTGTGGATATGTCATATCAAAATTTCCTAAGAGGCTCTGCAAATGCCCGAGGAAAGGAGTAACTATTCAATAAATAGGGCTGGGTCAATTAGCTATCTATACAGAAAAGATGAAATTTGACGGAAAAAAAAGTGTGTGTGTGTCTGTGTGTGTGCATAAATCCAAGTCATTTAAAATTATCAGGGCCAGAGAGGCATTAAAATGAGACAGCAATCACATCCTACCTCCTCCTCTCATCCCTGTTCTTGAGTCACATAATCATCTCTTGAAACTGCTTGCTACCACAAGTAACCTAGCAATCCTACATACCAGATACCATAACCCACACCCCACAGGCCAACAATGTATACCCAATTACTAATCAATGCTATTTCTGCAAACCCATGAGAATTCTTAACAAACAACTTTGTATCCGCACACTCATTATTCCCTTTTTTGCCTTCAAAAATCTGCTTGTAACAAAGACTGAACCTGAACACTCCCAAAAGCAACTTGGAAATGTATCTGTCCTCATCCTTGGCCCAAACAAACTCTCTATATTCATCCTACCTCAGCTTCTTCCCCTTAGGTTGATACTTTGGATGTCTATTTCATACACTTTCCAAAAACTCAGATACATTAAAGATACAAAGGCAAAAGTAAAATAATTTAAACTTTCAGATAATGTAGAAAATTATCGTTCTGAACTTGGGATAAAGAATAATTTCCTAAAGTAAGTAAAGTTTGATAAATTCAACTGCATTAACAGAACTTTTTGTTTAGCAAAAGATAACATCAGGTAAAACAACAGGTCACAAAATAAGATAAAATTTTAGTTCATATATATTCAAGGGATGAGTATCCAAAATGCACAAAAGAAACACACATACAAATGACAGAGAAAGGTGAATTAAGACCACAGTGATATACCACCTTATATCTACCTAGAAAGGCAAAAATTAAGAAGTCTAATGACAATATCAAGTGTCGGAGAGATGTGCATCAACAAGGTGGTAGTGTAATTTGGTACAATTATTTTGTTCAACTTTACATGACTATGCCAAATTGATTTCCATTACCACACCCTGTAACTCAGTATTTCTAACTAAAGAAATTCTTGTTCACATCAACAGGAGGCATACACAAGGATATTCATAGCTGGAGTTGCTTCCAGAACAGCAACATGAGGAGCTCCATAAACCTATTCCCCAGTGAAATGAACATAACTATTAAAAGTAACTTTAAAAAACAACTATTCAAAGTCTTTGGAAACTATCCTAAGCATACAAAAAATGATACAGTTAATGAAGATTTGCTAAAACTTAGTAAGAATAGCAAGAATACGTGGCATCTGAACCTCAATCAATTTCCCTCCCTCTCCCTTCTCAGCTCAGCATGACAGAAACTACACTCCAGGCAGGATGGCCAAGAACACAGTTTGAACCCTCTCTCCTAAGCTTCCTCCTGGGAGAAGCAAGCCACAAGCATTTCTCATTTCCCTTCAAGTCCCATTCCCTTCCCAACTACATACTGAAGAGGGTAAATTTGAGACAAATACATGCAAGGAGTTCAAGGGCTTCCTTCTTTCACCCATTCCCACTCATAAAATGAAGACTCTACTTCAGGGATGGCACACTGAGAATGCATGCGCCCCAACTACCTTCACCTCGCTGCTCTTTCATAGGGTGGAGGTTCCATGTTGAGAGAGACAACCAGAAAAGACCAAAGTACTGCCTGCACCCAGTACCCTATTCCTAAAGCAGGGATGTCACTCAAAGAGAAGTATACAGTCCGGACCCCTGCTCGAAATACCTCCCAAAAGGAACTAACTTTATTTCAAACAATTTCAAGGCAATGGGCACCTTCAAATACAATTGGGCAATTAAAAGGAGTCTGGTAGTTTCATGAGCGATACAAGCTAAACCATAGGTATACTAATTTACCAGAGAAAATGACAGAGACCGACAGAGACAAATGAAGAGGGTCAAATTTACCCTCTTCAAATTTACCCTCCTTGAGTTAGATCAAACCTCAAGCACTGGCTTCAAAAACAACCACTGTAAAGGAACTCAAATTTAATTGGATCAGATAGCGGAGCAAGTTAGGCTATAGGGCATTGTTGAAAACAATGGGGAAATCAGCTGCCAATCAGTGGATCCTAACAGCTGGGTATGACAGCAACAAAGACAGACAGCTTAACAAAGAGATGAAGAGAAAGACACTCAGAGAGCTCCATTAAAGATGACAGTGCTCATGCCCAAGCAACATCAACAACTTCTCATTATAGAGAAAATAGACTTTGCTAAAATCATACAGCCAGATATTTAAAAAATAAAACGACAACAACATCAACAACAACCAACACACCTGAGGGAGTGGGGGCCTGTATTTAAAGTTGCTACACTATATTATATAAAATGTCCAGCATTTAACAACAAATTATGATATACCATAAAACAGTAAAGTGTAACAAAAACACAAGGCAAAAGCAAGCAATAGATATCACCTGTAAGAGGGACTCGATGTCATATTTAACTAACAAATATTTAGCGTGTCCATTGCAAATATGTTCAAAGGACTAAAAGAATCCACACTTAAAGAAGTAAAGGAAGATATGATGATATCTCATCAAATACAGAATATCATCACAGAGATATTATTTTAAAAAACAAATTCTGTAGTTAAAAAGTACAGTAACAACAAACTCATAAGAGGGGCTCAACACCAGACTTGAACTGGTAAAAGAAGGATCAGTAATCTTGAAGACAATTCAATAGAAATTATGCAATCTAAAGGACAAAAAGAAAAAAGAATGAAGAAAACTAGAGTCTCTGAAAATGTGGGACACCAATATAAGCATAATATGAGTACCAGAAGTGGAGGGGGGGGAGAGAGAGACAGAGAGAAAGAAAGTAGAAAAAATATTCAAAGAAATTTGGAAGGCTGAGGCAGAAGGATTACCTGAGCCCAGCAGGTCGAGGCTGCTGTGGCGGTGAACGTGCCGCTGCACTCCAGCCTGGCGACAGAATGAAACTCTGACTCAAAAAAAAAAAAAAATAGCTGCAAATTTCCCAAATTTTATGGAAAACAATCTAGAAACATCAAAGTAGCTCAACAAACTCCAAGTAGGACACATAATAGTAAAAATGTTCGAAAACAAAGGCAAAATAAAGATATTCAAGGCAGGGTACAGTGGCTCATGCCTATAATCTCAGCACTTTGGGAGGCCGAGGTGAGAAGACTGCCTGAGCCCATGGGTTTGGGACCAGCCTGGGCAACTTGGCAAGATCTCATCTCTACAACAACAACAACAACAAATTTAGCACTGTTAAAGGTAATTATATTATTTGATAGCATAAATGCACATTACTTTTCCTTTCTTCTCTTAATTGGGTTTAAAAACTATTGTATAGAATAATATGTATATAGTTGCATTTTTGGAAATATATAAAAATGTAACAGCTTTGCAAATAAAAGTATAGAGGAGATAAGTGGGAACAAAGTTGTATTGTGGTAAGGAAATGACTTCAGATGGTAGCCAGAAGACACGAGAAAAAATGAAAAAAACCCAGTGATAAATAGTCCAGGGTTAGAAAAATGGAGAAATACACATGTCACTCTTTCACAAGCAGACGAGGAATACAAAGTCTTTCTTTATAATGGAACAAAAAATGTGCCTCCCATTCATATCCTGAGATGCAAGGGTCCCCTCTACAACCATACAAATAAACCTACTTTTATTTCCACAGGACAGTCCTATAAATACTTAGGTGTGTCTACCATATCCTAAGTTATTTTCTTCCCCAAGTACTATGGGCCCAATTCCTTTTTTTCAACATGTCATAGTTTCTCTTAAAGAGAGCATAAAGTCACTTAAATTTTTCTCTTTCCCTCATTTTCTGAATTGGAGGAAACAAAAGAAAAAAATTAAATAATTCAGTAAGTTTACAGCTGGACATGGTGGCTCATGCCTGTAATTCCAGCACTTTGGGAGGCAGAGGCAAGATGATTCCCTGAGCTCAGGGGTTTGAGACCAGCCTGAGCAGTATGGCAAGACCTCATCTCTACAATAAATTAAAAAAAATTAGCCAGGCATGGTGGCACATGCCTGTGGTTCCAGCTACTTGGAAGGCTGAAGCAGAAGGATCACCTGAGCCCAGTATGTCTAGGCTGCGGCGGCCGTGATTGCACTCCAGCCTGGGTGACAGAGTGAGACGCCAATTCAAAAAATAATAATAATAATAATTGATATTCCGGTTTTTGCTATGAGTTACGGTACATCTCCCCTATCTTCCATTTACATGGATGATTTACCAAAACAGAGCTTTCATTTATCCATATTTATCTGTATTAAATTTCACCTTTTAAAATTAAAATTCATCTTTAAATCACATTTCATCTTTTAAGAGTAGGCCCATAAGATTTCAGACAATTTTTACATTCCATTATTTGTTGCTGCTTTTATATATGCATGCATTACATAAACAAGTTTGTTGGAGAAAAGTTAAACCAGTGTAATCTATGGAAATCAGGAAACTGATTTGATTTCCAGGAGAAATATTGTATCTACCTTATTTACTATTGCATCCATGAAACTTAGCATAGAACCAATCATATAGTTAACACTAAAATGTATGAGTAAATAACAAAATACATCAATAACC